TACTTGAGTTAAGATGGATGTTACAATTGTTAGCAAGTAGTGAACCGTTGTTGTCACAAGTCTACATTTTTCTGTCTCGCGTTTACACACTGTACAATTGCACCCACGACCCCTCGATCGAGAAAACTTGTGCGTCTTATTTCGCCTAGTGCCAACTACACCTCAGTATCTACTCCGTGAACCCGAGAACAGTTGGCAAATTCATTCTTGTGTTCATATTAGGTAGATTTCGAAGCTAGCTGTTCCATAGTCTGGTGTACTGTCAGCTCTTATGTAGTACTTGTACAGAATTAATTCATTCCTGTTTTGCTCTAATTCGTTTTTTAACCATTCCTACTGGCCGATTTACGTGCAGAACACCTTGCTTGTATTCGCTCAAAATGTGCTTAATCCAGGGATTTGATTGAGCACAGCCCCAGTGAAGGCCAGGTGTTCAAACAAGTTGGAAATATTTGGGTTGCTCAACTCTGCTTCTCTCTCACTTTCCACATAAAATGAATGTAAATATCCGACTGCATGCTCATGCAAGAGTTGAAATGTGTTGGTTTAACAGAGAAACATTCCATTTTTCAATAAATATCCTCTATCCACTGCTGAGAGGCCGAGTCAACTTGTTAATTACATGCTTAAAGACTGGTTATGAGGACATGAGAGCACCTGGGCTAAGCTGATTTGGTCTGACCTAAAAAGGCTCTTGCATGACCACAAGACTCGCCTATTGCCCTGGTTACGCTTTGTCTCTAATGCTCCAATGAATATACGCCTCAGACAGACGTTACGGTCAGTTTGCCGGCACTGGATTGTCTTGTCAGTCAAGATTAGGCCAAATGAGCACTAAACAGGGGTCCATCTCGGGCCGGCTTGTAATTTGATCTGGCCAGCCTTGCAAATGACACAAATGCACACTCTTCGAGGATGAAGAAGAGCAAAATCGCAAGAAGGAGTAGGACAGACCGAAAGAATGACTGAGCAAGTAAGTCGTAAACTAAGGAAGGAAACAACGGAGGATGATGAGGGTGTAGGGAAGGCCAGAATAAAACAAGGCTATGCGAGCAGCCGGACGGAAGGAAGGCGGCAAGACGAGGGGGGGATTAGGGGAAGAATGAAATTTCGACTTCTTAGCCTACATCTCTCCATCACTAAGCGGTCATCCATGCGCCTTAGAAACCAATCATGAGCCTTACTGTTGCTGCCTCGGCTCAAAATGAGGAGGTCTGACTCATTTCCACCCTCGGACAGGAGGTTCATCAGTCCCTGGGGAGGATGAGCAGATATGACAAGCGCCTTTGAAAGAAAGAGATGGAAATTGTGAGATAAGACGAGAAAGAGAGAGAGATAGGAGCCAAAGAAATTAACTGCTATGCGTGTTGGGCTTGTGCAAGTGTGTCTGTGTATGTTTGTATAGGTTAGCAGAAGAGCAACTAATCGGGTTACTGAGGTGGTTTGGTTGTGGAATTGGGGAACAATAGGGCCTCGCCGTGAGCAGTTACGAAAAGGGCGCTGAGAGGTCGACCTTCGTCGATTGATGAGCTTGAGCTCACATCGAACGTGGGCGGATTGCTCAAGGTTGCTGTCCGTCAATTACGGTCCACAAGCCCACAATGACCATACACCGGAATTCGTGTCGACCAAACAATTAATTATGCTCCGAAGAAACTAACATAATGAGGCTGACGTGCAGTCGAAGGCGGAGAACAATCGTGTCACAGTCGAGAGTCTGACTCATGGATTCCGAGCTGACGCAGCACATCCGATGGAGTCCAACTTGACCTGAGCCTCTTGGAAGAGGTTCCGCAATTATGCTTGGTTCAACCCAACATTTGTTTACCGTCCAAAAGATACCACATTCAGAGGTCCATTAAGAAGCGGTGCTGGTGAGGGATGAAAAGGGGCCGGATATCGGACCTTACCCTCCGATGAATTCTGTACATTCTGATAATTGCAGAAAAACTCAATGCACCGACCGTAAGGTGGTTGAGATCGAGCCCAACCAGGCATTGAAACAGCCCATTTATATACCAATTTTTATGTAATCAGTTCCGGCTGATGTCTTAACGCAAAACTTTAGTTGACAGACTGAGGATTGAATCTTCCCGCAATAAAGTGAGTGGGTCTAACAAGTTCACTTGCATCTAAAATGGTTTCCTCGCCTATTTCGACCTCGTCTCATCTCAGCCTCATCTTCACCCTAAACGGATTTCGGAACTGGGTACTACCCGTAAAGTGACGACTCACTATCAATCGGCCACATAGCCACGTGTTCCATGTGTTTTTCAATCCAACAAAGTTGACGTGTTGGTAAGGCAAACTTGCATATGACATTAGAGACAAGGCTAAGTGAAATTCACTAGCGTTTTGATGCGTACTTGTAGTGACATGGGACAATTGGGCAATCAGATCTTCCTCAATTTATGCGGCCGAGGGTACCTTCAAGTCTTATACAAACAGGGGAGGTGTATTCACTCTATTTC